CCTCCCTACGAGATTAGGAAACCAGCAAGTACAACCCTGTTACCAAGACACCTAAACACATGCAGCCCCCATGCATTTAAGAATGCACTTTAACCTGAGGCATTGACTCCCTGGCCTGTGAGCCAGTGCCTCACTTCAGTGCTATTTTCTTCAGCATCACATCAAGTATCTGTGTAGCACAACTCTTGTCTTTAACCTGAGGCATTGACTCCCTGGCCTGTGAGCCAGTGCCTCACTATTTTCTTCAGCATCACATTAAGTATCTGTGTAGCACAACTCTTGCTCTGAGGTCAAGGCTACAGCTACTAAGAAGCCCTAGAAGACAGGGACATAACCAGAACATCAGTTCCATGTCCATTTCAGACTGTGGTCCAGGCTTCTGTTACCCCTTACAGATTTGCAATCTAGAGATATCAACATGAGGCAAAACCTTCTTTAGGTGTTTATTCTTGCAAATGAGAATTATCCATTACTGTTCTCCCAAGTCTCTTATTTTCAGTAACATTTATGGCTAGCAAATCAACATGGAGTTAAGAACTCCCAGAGTTTAGTTTACAGTAACATTTAAAACCCATAAAATGATTAAGAATCTCTACTCCTAGCTGTAAAAACATTTATTTGATAGCATGACACCATCAGCTGGTAATTAAGATCCAAGATCAAACAGAAGAAAGTTTTTAAATTTATGATAGTCCTTGACTTGCAGGACAGTGCTCTTTAGTTTGACTGTTAGAGCCCACAGCTCAGGGAAACACACCAAAGGTGTTTGGCACAACCCACGCTGCAGCAGCACCTGAAAGAAGCTCCTGCTGCACACAAGCTGCCCAGCCTCTGACATCCCAGAGCAGCAAGCTCTTCAGGCTGACTGCACCAGACTCACAGCCCAAGTGTCCATGCTCGGTGGAAAAGGGGACAGAGCCTGAGCAACCAGCTTAGGCAGCTGCCAACAACTTTACAGTCCTCAGACCAATAATCTGTAATTGATCAAAACTTTATACCTGCAGGTTATCAGCATTCAGGTCAGTCTTGTGCTGATCACTTGGTTTGTAGCCACCGTGCCTGTCTTCAATAACTGGATCAAAGAGCTCCTTGAACACTTCATAGGATTCTTCATCACCAGCCACGCATCCTACTGTCATTATGAAGGGATGGCCTGGAGTGGTAATAAAGTCAGAAGAGCTAAGTTTGGGTGACATTTGGCTGTACTCCAGTGCAGCACTAACCAGGCAAGTTCTTTAGTGGCGAGTCTAGTCACTTAGATGTTCATTCTTACATAGAAACATTTGGAGAGACCCTACATTTTACACTTCATCCAGTTTGTCAAATGCAGTGCTATGGAAACCCATAGCTATAGTCATTAAACCATGCTCATTTGTAAAGCTTGGTTTAGGACAAATTTGCACAGCACATCTAATTTGACTAGCTAATTTAGATCACGGCATAGAACTTTATGTCTAAACAATCATGCTTTGCTGCAAGCAAGCATGCTTTACTTTTTGCTCCTTCTGCTACAGAGCTACAATTCTGTAGTCTGCTCATAAATGCCACCTCCACAAGATTAGTTTTAAGTCACCATATTCAAAAGCACCAGTTACTTCAGCTGGTTCACACGGAACATTCTCAATGCATTTTACCAGGATTATCAACCCCAGTCTGAATGACATCATCCAGGGTGAAGCCACTGGGCGTGACTCTGTCTCTCAGTTTCTTGTATAAATCCAGGGTTAGAACTTTGGCCATGTGGTTGTTGTGGGTGCTCAGGTCCGGATACTCCTCATCAGGAGGCAGTCTCTGATTATTTAGTTGGGCCATTTTGATATTGCTAGAGTAAAAATAAATACTGTAATGTTAACATGTAAACACATCTGCTCCCCCTTTTTCATAGAAGTGCTAGAAAACATCACATAACCGGTCTGGAATAGGAAGAGACCAAGACAGTCAGGTAAACTGACTTTTTTTTCCCCCCCTCCCCAGATGAGTTATAATTAGAATGCATTTGGTTTGACTTTTTTTTTTCTCTTCAGATTGAAAGTATTTAGCAGAGCAGTTACATAATTGAAGTGTCTGGGAATTGATATGTCAGATCACAGCACGAAACACAGCTTGATGGAAACATGGCCTCTCAACAGAGGCATGCCTTTAGAGCAGTCTCTCAATGCTTTAGATTTGTCCCTCAGTATCTTGAGAACTTTGGGTTCTCAAGCATTGTCAAGAAGCACTTCCAGTCAGGAGGGAGAACAGATCATTATGCAGACTTAACAATCCCATTACCTGGGTTGTCAACCCCAGTCTGGATACAATCATCCAGGGTAAATCCACTGGGAGTCTGTTTATCCCTCAATTTCTTGTACAGGTCCGGGGTCAGCACCTTAGCCATGTGATTGTTGTGAGCTTTCAGGTCAGGGTACTCCTCCTCAGGCTTGTACTTCATCTTCAGGAGGTTGTGGCTGTTTGAGAAGGGCATGGCTAACCCTACCGCAGTCACTAGGGGAGAAAGACGGGAAGCCTATCACGGGGGGTTTGGCAGCCTCCGGACCGCCCGGGGGAACGCCAGGCACCCAAAAGGTCACCTTGGCTCACGTTCCACCCGCGCCCTTCACACCTCTGCTGCTACACCACCTTCCACAGGCGCCAAGGCGGAGCAAAGAAATTAAGTTCTTCGCCTCCACCAGCCTTGCCCCGTCCCCACCATCCCGGCCGCAGGGGCACAGGCTCTCCCGCCTGCCGGGGCGCCGCCCGGGCGGGGGGACGCGCCCAAGGTCGCGCGGAGCAGCCGCTGCAGCAGCGGGCAGAGCCCAGCGGGGCGGCACCGCCGCGCCCTCGGTGCGCGGCCGCGCCTCCTCCCGCCGCCGAAGGGCGAGGGGAGCCGGGGGAGCGACGGCGCCCTCCGCGTCCGCGGGCACCCGGCTGCTCCCGGCCGGGGAGGGGAGGGCAGCATCCAACAAGCCCTTACACAACAGACGGCTCCCTCAGGGGACCTGGACGGGGCGAGCGTATGTAACTACCCTGCTAAATACCGGGTTAATCTGGTTTTAGAGCCCAGCCAGCCCGGCGAGCACCTGCGCCGCTCCCCGCGCCCGCCGCCCCGGCTGCGCCCCTGCCCCGCGCCGCCCCTCGCGCCCCTCCTCGGCCGGACCGGCTCCACCCCACACAGCGGGGGGAGGGAAAAAAAAATAAAAAGGGGGGAAAAAAAAGAATCCTTTGTTTTAAGGCTGCAGAACAGCTCGGCTGCCCCGGGACTTACCGCGGGCTTCGCAGCTACAACAAGAACGTCCGCGGCGCTCCGCGTACCGCACTGCCCGAGTCCGAGTGAAGCTCCAGCGGCCCCGCCGCGCGTCTTTTATATAGAGCGCAAGCTCGCGGCCCATTGGCCGTTATTTATAGCCCATTCATTCCATTGGGCCGCGCCGCGGCGGGCGGGGCGGGCGTTGCGCCGCCGGCCGGGCCCGCGCTCGCCGCCATTTTGCTCGGCGTCGGGGAGGTCGGCTGTGGGCGGCGGGACCCCGCGGCCGCTCCCGCGGCGCTGAGGCGGCCCCGGCGTGAGGGCAGGAGTCCGTCTCGCGTGCCACCCGCCAAGGCGTGCCACCGCGCACCAACGTGCCTGCTTGCAGGCTTCACACCTTTGCCAACACCTTGGTCGAGGGTTCAAGCGCGGGTGTGGCAATGCATCGTCCCAAAATAAGGATTGTGCAGCCCGGAGAGCGGCGAGTGTCCCGAGCTGGCACAGAGCCCCGAGGCGGCTGCGGATGTGGCGCCCAGCCCCCGGCAGCCTGGTTCTGCAGAGGGAGGGCCTGCACCTCGCCTCCAGCACCTGCGAAACCGTGGGCTCGTTTTACAGTTCAATTTGAAAGGAAGTAGGGTGATTGTGTAAATCGCAGTGAATCCTCTGCTCTTGTCATGTGCCAAAAAAATTTAAAAATCTTCAGCTTTTATTGGAGAGAGGGTGATTTCCTGCTAAAGATAGGCACAGGAACTCTCGGATCTGACCCATCTAAAGCTCACCTGAAATTAACAAAAATAGGGACTACCACTGGTCTTTTTGTAGGAATGAGCAAGTTTGTCCCAAAGCTAAGATGCAGATGAGAATCCTACTGTTTGCAGAAATAATAATATGTTAACAATGTGAATTAGTATCTTGATTTGACTTTCACCTTTACATAAGAGTATCTTTATCTTTCTCTGACGTGTTTCTCACAGCAGAACCTGTGTTTATCCTCCTGTCCAAACAGAGTGTATTTATCCATGAGAGTGCAGATCTGAGTTCCAGAGTTGCTTTCCTTGACATGAGCTGTGAATGTCAGGAGACATCACCTAAACCTCTTTCCCCATCACAATCCTTTCAGCACCATGACCAGTACCCTCACCCTAACAACAAGCATGTGTACTTTACAGAGCTGCTTAGGACTTAAAAATAATAATATACATATAGAGGAAATCATTGCAAAATAAAAAGCCTAGACTGCTTCAAATAAAAATGTGCTGTGTTTGGCTGCCATCCAGATTTCCGAGTTATTCCAGGTCTGGTAGGCTGAGATGCTGAGTATACAGATCTCCAGGAGAAGCCAAGGGCTCAGCATCTGTGCAAGTCCGGTCTCAGCTTCCGGATCAAAGAACAAATCCTCTCTCTTGGTCTCCTCTGCACTTTTAACCTCACAAAGTCTTCCCCTACACACTAATAATTTCACACAATGGTCATGCTTCAGAATAGTGCAAATTGCAAATAATGCATGGCTATACAAGTATTAAATTATTACAAGTGTAAAATTGTACCTAGAGTCCTCAATAAATTACAATATAAATGTAATATCACTGGATTACCTCAGCTACAAACATAATTCTGATTGTGGATTTTTTAATGTAAAACATTAATATTTTATTCTTAATTTGAAACAGAAATATACTAAAACCATTTTCTTACATTATGGAGTATTTTTGTGGTGGTGTTCTCCACAAAGAGAAAAAAAAAAGCCAGTCAGGGTAGGTTTTGAAGGCTCCTTTTATCTTATTCCATAATCTATTGCCACACAAACAAAGAAGCAATCAACTGTTCTGTAGTTTAATTGTTCAGGAGATTTGTGGAGTCAAGGTCACCTCAAGATCCAAAATCCAAGGATCCGTTTCATTGTATATGCTCCTTTTCTCCCCGTCTTGCAGAACAGGGAATACCAGTCGTGGTGAGCAGGTAGAAGTCTCAGTGTGCCAAACATTACAGCACTTCCAACACAAACACACAGCTCTTCTTCACAGAACTTGGGTGACATGGAGAGAGAGTCAGGAACACAAAATCACTAAAATATATCCAATTTACACGTTTGACAAGCAATGCATCCTCTACCCCCCTCTTCTCACCACTATTTGACAAATTTCTAGCATGCAGTAAGTCAGAAGTGGCTGGGTTTTACTCAGACAGCATTTAAAGATTTGCTGAAAGCTGTGTGTAAATTGGATCCTATCTTTGTCACAGCATTCTGTGCCAGCTTCCCTAGTGACTTAATTACAGATGCTGTGCCCTGTGTCAACAGCCTCTGATCACCCGCTTTATCTGCCTCATCTGCTGGGAAACACTCTTTGGATAAGCCTGTATGGCCTGTTAGACTGTGATAAAGGCACCAAAACTCACTTTCCATGCTGGGGTGGTATCTTAGTGAATACTGATTTATATGCTACATTTCCAGTTGGAAAGGTGGGCTGATTACTCCAGAGATCTTTGCACTGAGCTTTAACAATGAAGAATTAAGGGAAGTTAATCAAGGGCCATGCAGCTAACTTCCTAAGAGGCTTAATTATAAATGTTGTGTGGTGTGCAAGTGCAAGAGGAGATGGGTGTTAGCTAGTGAATGTGTCTTCTGAAATTACTTGCGTGAACAGAATATGAACCTGAAGAATTAGGGGATAAACATCATCTTGGAAACACAGAACAATATTCCAAATTAGGAAACAACAAGAGAAAGTGGTTTGCTGTGAACAACTGAATTGTTTCCAATTCCTAATCTACAACTAAACACCACTTGAAAATTAAACGTAACACTCATGTACCAGTAGATTAAAGAAACTGGCCATAGCTCCATCTGCTTAACTTGTCAAATGAAACTTCTCTTCCCATTTATCACTTAAAATGTATTTGCTTAGTTATTATCCTTGGTGCATTTTTTCTCACAGCTTAGGCAGGCTGTTGAAAATTACTGATTGTTTCCAGTGAGCTGAGTGCCTATGGAAATGAGGAGTTGCTGAGTGTCTCAATCTTGCACACAGTCAGGCCCACAGTGATCTGAACAGCAGCCCATCATGGGAAAGAAAGGACATGAGAACATAAACAATGACAAATATAACCAGTGACACTAAAAATGACAGAAAATTAAACAAAGTGGGTGCAAATATAAAGGCACAGTAGAGCCATGATTGCTAGTCAGAAAAACAGCTGAGTAGGAGTTTGCAGTTTAAGAAACCTCTGAAACTGCATACATTATGTTTAGATTAGATGGAGAAGAGTTTCATAACTAACAAAGACTACTGCAATTATGCTATGGGCAGGTCAACACCATAACAAAAAATATGTTCTCACTGAAGGTAATGGGAAAAAAAAATCCCTTATTCTTGGTGTAACCACATTAATTTAAAGAATCACAGATCATCATCTAAACAGCTCTCCGTTACTGGGTTTGTGATTGTGAAAGGATGACTTTTTCTCCATTATTGTGTATTACAGGTTACTGGTGAATGCAGCACAGTACAGAGTGTTATCTGATTTAGCTGGGAACACTACCTGCACGTCCGAGGTGATTCACATGCTCCCTGCTATGCCCATCCCGCTCCCATGCCAGGTGGCCTGGGCTTGTTGTGAGCAGAAGATGAGGCAATATTCTCCTCCTTTGCTCCTCCTTGCCTCCTGACTACAGCCCCCGTACCACCGGGGCAGGCAGGGCTCTCCACATCACTTCGATCCTAAACACGAGACAGAAGTAGGAGTTAGTACCATGCTGTTAGAGGGTTAGATAACAATTCTGCTGCTTCTGAGCCCACAGTGTGGTTTCTCCTGCAGCCTTATGAAACCCCTGTGAAGAGCTTGGTTGGCCTCGAGCTGCCTTTCCCTGAGGCTGCCCTGGGGGAAGGGCATGCAGAACTTTCTGGAAGCTGTCTGCCTGGAGGCCATGGAGGCAAGGCCCAGGTCTGCCAGTGGCAAAGTCATTCCCTGGGGAAGGGGCTTGAGCCCGGCTGGCGGTGGCCCTCGGGACACCCTACACGTTCAACAGGCGATGAACGCCAAGTTCCCACTTTGCTATCAGTCCCCATTGCAGCTGTTCCCAGTGACCCACTGGGACCCGTCCAGTTTCACTGACAGGGCAGCTGCCCGAGGCAGGAGCACCCCGCCAGGGTGCCTGGGGGGCTGCTGAGGCTGCTCACTGACCGTCCCCACTGCTCAGGACCCAGCAAGACAGGCCGGGGCGGGGGCGGTCAGCAGGGGACTGCGGGGGACAGGCGCCTCGAAAGGGCTGAGGTGCGCTCAGGGGGATGGACGCTTCGATGGGACTGTGGGCATGACGGGCTCAGGGGAACGGGTGCCTTGATGGAGCTGTGGGCATGACGGGCTGAGGGAAACGGGCGCCTCAGGAGGGCTGCAGGAGCTAGGTCTGACATCGCGCCGGCAGAAGCGGCGGCGACTCCCCGGCTGCCGGCAGGGCTGGCGGGGGCGGAGGCGGTGGGAGCGTCAGCAGCCTGCGACCGAGGCGGAAGAAGGCGCTGGGCGGCTCCGCGTGTGAGGAGAGCCGGGCCGGGCCGGGCTTGGGGAGGTAAAGGGCTCGGGGCACGGGGAGAACCGTCCCCACGGGGACGCGGGGCGCTGGGGCCGGGCCGTTCCTGCCCCGCGGAGCGGCCGCCCGGGGCCGTGACGGGCTAACGCTGCTCTCCCGCCGGCGAGTGCCGCCTCTCACCCCTTCCCTGCCCAGTCCGTGCTTCTCACCTGCCCGCAGCTGAGGCTCCCGGGCCCGCTGGCTGCTGGGGTGCAGGAGCCGCATTACCGCCCTCGGGATACGGAAGGGGGCTGAGGGGAACCTGGCACCGGGGTCACCCCTCTGAGCCGGGGCACGGAGCGACTGCCCAGCCTGCGTGCGCCTGGGCAGGGAGGGGGCTGTGCCTGCCCCGTCTGCCGGAGGTTCCCCTGCCCCCGTGCCTAGCACCAGGCTTCAGGAGGGGGCAGGGGCAGCCTGCCAGGTCCCTGTGGCAGCTGGTCAGGGAAGAGACGTGTGCCTGGGTTGTGGTTGAAGGGAACGCAGTGTCATGTTAGTGCTTTTATTTGTGAGGCTGCGAGGGTTCCCCTGAGGCGTTGGGTTTAGGTCTCTGCAGCCGTGGCAAGCGCAGGGGGAAGTCCTGGCCCCGTGTCGGGGGATGCCGCAGCAATCCCCTGCGTGCTGCCCGGGGAAAACCAAACGGTGCGGGAGCCTCTGCACTGCCAGGCAGTGGGGAGTACTGGGAGGGGTGGTAGGTCACTGTGCTCCTTGACAAGGGGGCGAGGCAAAGAAACTTCCGAATTCCTCACCAATTCCAAAATTCCTCACCGATTATACCCCAAATGTATGAATATAATGCAGCAGGTGAGGTCTGAGCCTAAGGGATGTGTCACTTGGGGTGTCAGCGTGCACTGATATGGATGGACTTGCTGGACTTGCTGGTCTTAAAGGTCCCTTCCAGCCTTTAGGATTCTGTGGTTCACTGCTGTGGCTATTAGCTGTGCTAAGTGTAGTGGCTCAAAGGGAGGCAAGGAAGCTGGGAGCCAGTTGGTGTAATCAAAGGGAGAGGAATTCGTTCAGTGTTCCTGCAGGTTTGCTACAGGATTCTTTTGCACATGGGTGTAACACAGTAAATACTGTGAAAAAAATGGATTCCATTCGAGGTCCTTTCAGATTACACTTGTGAGAGCTGAAAACTGCACTGCATTAAAAGTATCTGGAATGAGAACTCTTAAATATCATTTATGAAAGATTAAGACATGAACATAATCATAGGGTGCAAGCTATAAAAGACAGCATTTGTTCTATCTCACAAAGTCCTTTATCTATACATTTCTGAATTCATGGGATGCCCTTCTTACTATTTCACCAGATGTCCAGACAAGCCTCTTCTGCTTTGGCATCTGAACACCTTATGCAATAACCATGTCATAAGCTTTGGAAGTTTCAGCCACAAGCACATCTGTTTATCAGCCTCAGTGGCTGCAGTGGAAAAATTATAAATCTAGCTGCTTAACAGCAAATTGAGCAACATGGAGCTTCAGGCATGAGCCAGACTACAGACACCAGACTACACTTTGAGAACTGAATGCTTTTAATTTAAATGATGAAGCAGGACCAAACTCTTAAACATTCAACACAGAAGTGCTGGAATTCAGTAATTATTCTGAAACTAAAAGTAACACTGCTTTTGATTCTGCCAGGGATGATGTACCAGAAATCTGACTTTCAAAGCCTTCTGTCATAGGCTTTAATTTCTAACTTTGGGATCCCTTTTACATCGTTAAGCAATTCTTGCATGAACTGATCAACCTGCAGCTTAGACAGTTAGCTGCTTTATCTGAAAGGCAATGTCAGGTTTCATTGTAAGCTGCCTTCTGATTTCTAGATTGTCTTCTCAAAGCCATCAAAATTTAATTGTAATTCTCTAAAACAGCTCTGAGACCATGGGGCTGAAGTGATTCAACTGTTGGCATTAGCTTGCAAGTGGTTGCTTACATTTAGCTGGAGCAGAGATCACTTCCCAGACAATTACTTTGCACCCCCAATGGCAAATTAAAGGCCACAATATTATTTTCTTTTTCCATGTAGTTAGTCCAGTTTATGCATAAATTAATGTCCTTAGCCTATCTCTAAATGTTCATTTGGAAAACTTTCAAGTATACTTTTGTTAGTGGTCCTAATAGCTGGGGATTGAGGTCCAGGCAAATAGCAGAATGTCTTTATGTTGCAAATCATCAAAAAATAAGCAAGAAGATGGGAATAGAAGTTAAACTTAATAATATGCTCTGAGTGCTCAGGAACTGTAATTGAACAGGGTGCTGAAATTGGTATTAACCTACAGTAGCATTTTGGAGCATGCTGAGTAAATTATAATGTATTTCCCGATTTTTCTTTAAGATGTACCATAAACCAAGAAAAATACTTGTTATTTTCAAATCTGTGGGATCCTTCCATTGATTGTAATTGGATCAAGAGTACAGTGGAGAGCAGCTCCCTGAACTTCCTGGAGCTCTCTTGCTAGCATCTTATTTGCACAGTGTGGTTTTGTTCTGTATTGGAGAAAATAAAATTACTTGGTTTTATGTCTGTAGTTTCAGCTCCACCGTGGTCCTGTGAAACTCTCCTGACATTTTTATTCTTCTCTAGGTGACAATCATCAGCCAGCTACAAGATTGTCACCATGAGTTTTGTGGCATATGGAGATACGATACGGGATGGTGACACGGCTATTGTGTTCCTGGGCCACGAGTCCATGTTTCCTGTGAAGGTGCAGCATGGCTCCGTAACACAGACTAAGTATGGGGTCATCAGGCATTCCACGGACCTCATAGGCAAGAGGTATGGCTCCAAAGTGACCTGCAGTAAAGGAGGATGGGTGTTCATTCTTCACCCGACTCCAGAGCTGTGGACCATGAATCTCCCGCACAGGACGCAGATTCTGTATTCCACTGACATCTCCATAATCACCATGATGCTGGAACTGAAGCCAGGCTCCATAGTGTGTGAATCAGGTAATAATTACTATGTTGAAATCCTTTATTAGGAGCTAACACCAACACTTTCATTAAAAAAACAGGGTTTTCTTTGTGTTTTGCAAAAAGTTGCACTTTCTTTCCACTGTGATACAATTTTCCCTGCCCACGTGTTGAAGAATTCTGTATCATGTGCACATGTTTTCAGCTGCTGTTTCTTGAAAAATTGATGCTACCAAGGTGTGCAGCCTCATTTATGTGGGTATACCTCTGAGCATGTATTTGGTTAATTCATCTTCTTAGAAAAAATATGGAAACATTTTAATTTACCTTTTCTGAAACTGTTGTTAAGTACTTAAAATGTGTTTGTAAATACATGATTTAAATCAAGATTCAGGCTTTGAATTAGCAGTTTCAGAGGATGTAGTTGAGATAACCTGGTGAAAGAGACTCTGGTGATAGGGTGTTGAACTCATAAGAGAAATAAATTGGCAATATTTATATATGGTACTGTGTAAGTACATAAATTTCACTCTTCTTTTTCCAAGTATAATCTACTTGTAGCACCACAACCACATGCAAAATCACTGATTAAATACAATGGGTGATGTGTTCATCACAGGGCTGTGTTTTATTTCTAAACTTGGTTTAATTTATTAACAGCTTTCATGTTTTTGCTTAATTTGGCAGTAAGGAGTGAAAATTGACATAAATGTTTTCTTGGTTGCATGGAGTTTATAATAATGTCATGGACCTTTATTACTACAGGCTTGCTTGATTTGAATGAATCTCTGTGGTTTGGAGAAATAGCAGCTGAGGTAGTTTGTTCTTGTTTTTTCTGGCTGTTTGAGCATTTTTGAAGCAGTTCCACACACCTCCCTCTCAAGCATAGATATCGTAAAGGATCAGCATGACAGGACTGTGATGCACTGTGCTTTCTTACGTTTACCATTTCCTGTTCCCACTCATGCATAATTTTGGGCAGCTTTTCAGGCATAATGACCACTTTCCAGCACAACTGAGACAGCACTTATCTCTGCCCCCAGTTGAGAGCCAGGCAGTGTGTTTAGCTGGTTGCTGTGCAGCAGCACTTGAAGCAGGCAAAGCCCTGTGCAGAAGCCTCTGGTGCTGTGAAAATAGCTGAGTCCTGTGAGTTTGTGATTTGGTTTGCAGGACGATCAGACGTTTTCAGTTTTGTCATGGGAAGTTTCTGTATTCATCAGCTCTTCCTCTCCCTGCTATGTTTAGACAGGATGGGAAAAATAAACAACAAATCATCTGGGGGGCAGGGGGAAGAGATTGGAATTGTTCCATGTCCTGTCTCACTCAGACTAGTCAAATGTACAGAGCTGTATATAAAATATTTTCAATAATGTCCAAGGTGCCTAGGGAGGATGAAAATGTTTAATCTCTTGCTTATCTAAACAGCTAAGAAATGGAAACACTTGATGATTTCCTAAAATGTTGTGAGTCAAAAGTCATAGCCACAAATCAATTGTTTTTGCTAAGGGGAAACTGTCCCCAGGTTCATTTTAATGCTCGTACTGACAATGTATTGCAACTTCAGCTTTCCAGGCAAAGTTTTATAGCTATAGTTATGCTTGTATTGCTTGCAAGGTTCACTGTTCACAAAGGAAGGAAAGAAGAAAGAATACTATAATAAATCCATCTGGCTAACTTTGAAGCAAGAGACCTTACTGCAGATTAACTTTGAATTAAAAACTTGACGGTATTGACAACTGGAGCCTGCAGTGTGGTCATGTAGCCTGCTTTGGTGCCATCCTAAATTCTATGGTGTTTGGTGATCCAAAACCATTAGCTCTAGATTAGCCTTGTGCGGACCAGACAGAGCCAGCCCAATGGTGATGAGTAGAAACAAGACAGGAAATCTGGTATAGTAAAACTTGAGTCTGCTTCCTGCTGGTGCCACGTTGAGGTGTGTTTTAAGCATTAATTAGCACAGAGGTCTGTCTTTTTTATTGTTTGAACTTAGATATACAGTTGCTGTATGAACTGGCAAAGCAGACTGTGAAACATGCTGGGCTCTTTTCCTCTTGTGTTACTAACTCAACTGTAGAGGTGTGTCCTGTATTTAGCCATTGAATGCTAGCAGAATTTTTAATTGGTCTCCCCAGCTGTGAGAATAGATGATTGAAAAAGTAAGAGGAAATAACTTCTGTGTCGTGTTGAAATGCTGTGAATTTAAATGATCTTCTGCATGTGATTATAAAAATGGAGTAGAATAACTAGAAGGATTAATTTTATGTCACTTTAATTATACAATTTAAATTGATAATTTAATGATATAGTTTAAATTGATTAATCATGATTTGTCCTAAAAGATACAAACATATTAATATAGTTTTTACTATGTTTAATCATCTTTAATAAACACATAAAGAGCAAGCTTGTCAGCAGCACATGCATAATTAAAATGACCCAGGCATACTCTGTTGAGGAAGCTCTAAGGAGACTCTGCATCCACCTG